GTCATGGGACTAGTGAGTTTTGTCATGGGACTAGTAAGTTCTGTCATGTAAGTACTGAGTACTGTCATTGGACTAGTAAGTACTGTCATGGGAGTACTGAGTACTGTCATGGGACTAGTGAGTTCTATCATGGGACTAGTGAGTTCTGTCATGGGACTATTGAGTTCTATCATGGGACTAGTGAGTTCAGTCATGGGACTAGTGAGTTCTGTCATTGGACTAATAAGTTCTTTCATGGGAGTACTGAGTACTGTCATGGGACTAGTAAGTTCTGTCATGGGAGTACTGAGTACTGCCATGGGACTAGTAAGTTCTGTCATGGGAGTACTGAGTACTGTCATGCGACTAGTAAGTAAACGTTCATTACCAGTAAACTATATTTTTTAGATAAATGTTAATGCCTAGGCTACCGAATTTTTGCCCACTCGCTTGCAGCGACACAGTGCGCATCATATCTGCGCATACAACGGGTCATGGTTAGTAGCTCCCCTTACAAGGAATATTAGCTTAGTTGTATCAGCGTTAGAACCGTTCCATTTCCTTAATTCGTATTGGATAGTAAGGGACTAGATTTACAGATGGCACCATGCGTGCACACTGCATGTTATTGAGTTGATTGAACAAAACATTTGGTGTTCTCATTATTCGTCGATTGCGTTCTACCCGGTAATATACGTAACTAGTTCTGTTTGGAGACAATCTTGTTTTAGTGACAGGATTCACAGCTAGAGGGTGCAGACATAGTAATTATGTATCGAGAGCAAGCCTCACAGCTAGAAGGTGCAGACATAGTGACTATGTATCGAGAGCAAGCTTCACAGCTAGAGGGTGCAGACATAGTGACTATGTATCGAGAGCAAGCCTCACAGCTAGAGGGTGCAGACATAGTGACTATGTATCGAGAGCAAGCCTCACAGCTAGAGGGTGCAGACATAGTGACTATGTATCGAGAGCAAGCCTCACAGCTAGAGGGTGCAGACATAGTGACTATGTATCGAGAGCAAGGCTTGAGCAGTTGCATCCCCACTCAAACGATTGATGTTATCTGTATAAAACATCCCCATTACCACAGTCCCAGGAATTGTTTAATGTCACATGTATACAGTACATTAGTTCATGAACTGGTTAATCGATTAGATTGCAGTTTTCCATTGAAGGGGGAAATGGCAATGGAGTGGGAAATGGATTTGACAATGGAGTGCGAAATGGAGTGGGCAACGTGTTATTTGATTGCCAGTCAAACTATATATTTGCTTGGGTTTTTTCTTTGTTTGTTGTTGTTGGGTTTTTTTTTTTTGTATTTTGTAATCATTTATTTCTTGTGATAAGGTGCAAAATTCTTGTAAAATATTTATGATTTCTTCTCTCAAAACAGGATATCAAAAATCAAATTCTTTCCTTGAATGGATTCATGTCATTTGTAAGTTATCGCTTCAACGCCAATTTCATAACGAAACATCAATCATTTGTCCAAGATGATAATTGTACAAACATGGTCAATGTCCAGACAATGTGTTTGTCCAATTGTATTGGTTGTTATATAGGATACCCAATGTTATGTACGTTCTGCACCCCTACGAATTCATTCATTTATTCTAGCCCCCCCCCCCTCACCCATTTCTTTTACAAAATTAAATAATACATTTTAAATTTGAACTTTTTAAGAATATATTTTTATATTGACTTTTCCTCGCGCCCCTTGAAATTCAACTTCACACTCCCCGGGGTTGCCTAGCACCACAAGTTGGGGAACTTTGTCATAACATTTCATGCTTTCCTTTCAGAGATCATTTTCTACTTCACTTTCAAGAATAACGCTTGCTTTTTTAAGGCTAAGCTAGTTTTCTAAGGAATAAGTATTGTTATGTTAACATTATTTGGGTTCAACGTTAAGCTGTAGCTTCCACCACTTCCACCCCCCACCCAAACTTTTTTTTTAATAGCGATGTCATCGATTAAATGTAAAGAGCTCCAGCATACCCAGCCCTCATTCGATTAAGGAAAACTTGTTAACGCTCCACTATGTTCTAAAAGGAGGTGGATAACGCAATCGGGTGATGAATTTTCTAGAAGTTCTTTTCTGGAGTGTTCAAACTCACTCTCCTTAAATAAGCTGGCAGTTTTCCCCAGTCAGACTAGATTAGCTAGATCTCCTACACACGAGACAATTACTGTACTTACTAGACTTACATGACTTTAAAAGTTTTGAGCTTTCTAGTATCATACTATTTCACATGCTATCTGTTAATATAGATTTTATTCCTGCTCACTTGATGTTGTATTTCTATTTCTACTTAACACTATAATTAAATTGATTATTGCAAATATCATTAGCAGTGGCATCGTTTTCTTTGTATTCTTTTCTCATTCCCCTTTTTTTACGGATTGTTCATGTAACGAAACAAACTTTAAAACTACAGATTCGATTTTTAAACGTTATAACGGCACATAACACGTTTGTTGTGTAAGGATAAACTCGTTTTATTGTTTTATTTATCTTATTTTATTTTGTAAGGCTAAGCTAGTTTTGTAAGGTTAGCTAGTTTTGTAAGGCTAAGCTAGTTTTGTAAGGTTAGCTAGTTTTGTAAGGCTAAGCTAGTTTTGTAAGGTTAAGCTAGTTTTGTAAGGTTAAGCTAGTTTTGTAAGGTTAAGCTAGTTTTGTAAGGTTAAGCTAGTTTTGTAAGGTTAAGCTAGTTTTGTAAGGTTAAGCTAGTTTTGTAAGGTTAAGCTAGTTTTGTAAGGTTAAGCTAGTTTTGTAAGGTTAAGCTAGTTTTGTAAGGTTAAGCTAGTTTTGTAAGGTTAAGCTAGTTTTGTAAGGTTAAGCTAGTTTTGTAAGGTTAAGCTAGTCTTGTAAGGTTAAGCAAGTTTTGTAAGGTTAAGCTAGTTTTGTAAGGTTAAGCTAGTTTTGTAAGGTTAAGCTAGTTTTGTAAGGTTAAGCTAGTTTTTTTTAGGAATGCGCTAGATTTCTAGGTGAATGTTCTAAGAAAGCGATGCTCTTGATTTCCTTTAAAATGTTTTTGTATTTATTTTCTCATGAATTTCTTTTTAAAAATACAAATTAAGATCCATCAGTAAAGATAAATCAATTGCATATTATAATAAGTTATGAAGTAAACTGAATTTTGTCGGCCATCATAGACTTGGAGGGACGAGCTACTGACATGGAATCCTGGACAATATGGCGGCATCCAGGAAATCATCGTACCACAAATTATGGTCTGGAGACCGGATGTGGCTATTTATAACTCGTAAGTCCCTGGCTGTTAACAAAAAATCAATTGTTTACGAGAATACAAGTTTCCATGTTGAGGCTCGTATAAGTTAATTCATAACAAATCCCTTGCAACGTGTTCAACTTCCAGAATTGATGACAGAGTGACGCTGAGTGAAGACGCGGTCCTGGTGTTCATCAGTTCAGACGGTACGGTCAGATGGGAGCCCGTGATCAACCTTGATGTCACATGCAAGGTAACTGCTGCACTGTTACGGTCTGAACATCTTTGTTGTGGTCCAGCAGGGGATTTGTCAACCAGTATGAAATCAAGCTGTGAAGTTCAGGGTCAACATTAGCCATAAGATTCAAAACCTACTTTGTATGCTCCGGAAAGTTTGGAAAGAATTAAACAGTATCCCCTGTCTCAAATATAATTTTTTTAAACTTTGTATGTATTTTTTTTTTTAATTTTGTAATATCTTCTAATGACCCACCCGTTTTTGCACCGCATTTTATTTCACAATCCATTTCAGAAAAAGAAAAGAAAATTGTACTCACCAAACGCCCTTGCGATATTTTTTTTTTGAAAAGAATCTCATTTAGTGCTGTTATCGGGAATTTTATTTTAGGAAAACAGTGTCATCATATTTCCTTCACATCATCCTTGGAAAACAGGTACAAAACTGATTTTTGGGGGGTTTGAGGTGGGGGCTAACAATTTGATAAACATGCTGTTATCGGCAACGAGTCTCTGTGACATGTATCAGCTCGATAGTTTAGGCCACTTAGCCGTCCCAAGATTCTGCCCTGAAGACACAAAAGCAAGGTTACTATAAAGGATTAAAGAACCACCTTAAGAAGCGTTTATTTCATGAATCCTGTCAGTTGACTTCGCTTTTGTTCCTTTGTTTCTTTGTGGCGAAATCTTTGGAAGGTTAATCGACCCACTTCCCATCCTCCCATCCAGCTGAATTTATCACTTAGAATTTCGCCGTTGACATCACTTTCATTCAAATTTTCAGCCTCACCTCCAACCCAGAGAAATCAGTTTTTAAGGTTTTTTTCCAAGGGTAAGATAAAGGAAATATGATGAAATGATATATTGAGAACTAGTTGCCATTCCAAGTCACACAAAAATGCAGGATCACACAAATGCAAACCAAAATGCATTTACATGGTTTAAGCGAAAAACTTTGTGTTTAGTAAGTCGTTCTTTAAATACATTTTAACCATGTAGCCAAAACTACGACTACCCACGAAACTTAAAGTAAGCTAATTGCAAGGACGCGTGTCTTTGTTTTCTAAGTGTAACGAAATTCATTTCTTCACCGTCATGTCAACATATTGTTGTTACAAAGCAATTGCAACTTTATTCATAGGTGGATATCTCCAAGTACCCATTTGATGAGAACGTATGCACGATCAACGTTACGTCATGGATGAGTGACAACGCCACTGTCAAAGTAAGTGAACCACTACATTATGTACTACTTTGTGCAGGCGATGTAACTCAATCATACTCCTTAAAATGCGTTAGTTCGTAACTAAGTGGGGTTTAGGTTACTAGGACAAATTTTTCGGACGATACGGAAATTTAAAAAAAAAAAAAAAGTTTGAAAAGAGCAGAAACAGACTTCATCTTAGAGGATTGTTGTGTTTATTTTTAAACAAGTCGTGGGAAAAAAAGGGAAGTGTTGCCTTATCACGAGAGACTTTATTCAGTTTCTGTAGTGAAGATCTTGAACTTATTATTATGTTTTTTTTCCCAATATTTATAAAGAAGTATAGCATCTTTCCTGTTGTTGTAAGGCATTTGACATCAGTGTTATGTTCCATCAAGCTGGCAACAACAGACCAGCCCATAATATTGGACGACATCATGGCCAATGGTCAGTTCTGGGTCAGTTCAGAGGGGACATTCCTGAGAGCTCTCCAATACGGGGTCAAGCATTACGTCCATCTCAGTTTCAAGCTCAAGCTAAGACGACGACCAGCGTACCTGGCTATGACGTATGTAAAACATGATCAAACTAAATCGGGTCACTCTGATGGTGTGGTCATTGGGGAGGACGGGGTGTGTGTTCTCTTCACAATTAAACAAAGTTCGCGTACGGCATGAACCAGTTTTTTTCCAGAGTCACAACAGGAAAATCATAAAGTCTCAGCACAAAGTCGCAACAACAAAATGACAACGTCTCTGCTTTTACATATCCTACATGCTAATATGATGCATTTAATTTTCTTTACACGTTTAAAAAAATTCAGATTGAATTCATCAAATTCCATGCCTGATCCCGTGGTCACCAATATATAACTTGTGATTTCAGTGCTAATGAATCTATTAAACTATTATTACAGATTGACTTTGAAGCTATTTAAAATAATTTTGAATAGCGTGGCTACAAAATCACCACAAGCGAGCGTGCCTTACTCAGATAATCAGGATCACAAGATACAGGAAGTTATATGACAAAGACAAAAATACCTCAGTGAATTGTTATTGTTAAGGAATTGTGGTGGCCTTTTAGAAATCTCATCCAAGCAAAACCCATAGTTGAGAATGTATTTGCATCTTAAATATCAAAGTTTTGTTGACCTCTATTCGCAACATATTCTAAATTTAGAACACATTGGCAAAGATTTTTTCGTCCCCCGCCAAACACAAAACATTATTTCAATCTAATTATTTTCCTACCGGTCCCCCCCTCTCCCCGCCGTCAGCCTCCTGACCCCGGTGACGCTCCTGGCTGTTTTGTGCGTCGTTTCGTTCTTCTTATCACCAGAGGAGCCGGAGAAGGTGTCAGTGGCCATCACAGTTCTGTTGTCTTTCACGGTGTTTCTTGGCGTCATCGACACCGGCTTGCCGGAGACTTCGGACAACATGTGCTTAATTGGTGAGTAGCCTGTCACTGATTAAGAGCTGCCTGGTATCGTTGTCGGTGTGAGCAGTATTTAGATTCCTTTTAAAGTTTCTTTCAATTCTCAAGCTAAGTTAGTGAAACTACAATTTTAACTTAAGAAGGCTTTTGTTTTTATTTTGGTAATGCTCTTATTGTAAGTTATTGAATTACACAATAAATGTTTTTGTTTTTATACATATATATATATTTATATTTATAAATACATTGTCGTATTTCCAGTTGTATACGTGGACTCGTTACTTCTGCTGTCCTTCCTGTGTGTGGCCGGGAATGCGATGGTGATCGTCATCCACAGACGAGATCTTAAATCCCGTGACCTAAATCAGGTCCCCAAACATTCGAACGTGACGTCAGCTTTCCCAAGACACCAGGCGCTGGCCATCACGGACAAGTCCAAACACTTTCTTACCGCCAGCAACGACCTGAAGAACCTGATCTTCAACATTAATTACAGTGATTCCAAGGGAGCCGCTGCTGCACCAGGCGCCTCCAATACTGAGACGCCCACGAGAGCTGAAAAGCTCAATCGCTTTTTTCTCATGGTTAACATATTTGCATTGCTAGCTATACTTGTCATAGTTGGTGTTATGATGATGGATTGAATTAGACATTATACTTGTCATAGCGTCATGATGATGAATTGAAATAGACATTATACTTGTCATAGCGTCATGATGACGGATTGAATTAGACATTATACTTGTCATAGCGTCATGATGATGAATTGAATTAGACATTATACTTGTCATAGCGTCATGATGACGGATTGAATTAGACATTATACTTGTCATAGCGTCATGATGATGAATTGAATTAGACATTATACTTGTCATAGCGTCATGATGACGGATTGAATTAGACATTATACTTGTCATAGCGTCATGATGACGGATTGAATTAGACATTATACTTGTCATAGCGTCATGATGACGGATTGAATTAGACATTTATACTTGTCATAGCGTCATGATGATGGATTGAATTAGACATTTATACTTGTCATAGCGTCATGATGATGGATTGAATTAGACATTTATACTTGTCATAGCCTCATGATGATGGATTGAATTAGACATTTATACTTGTCATAGCCTCATGATGATGGATTGAATTAGACATTTATACTTGTCATAGCCTCATGATGATGGATTGAATTAGACATTTATACTTGTCATAGCCTCATGATGATGGATTGAATTAGACATTTATACTTGTCATAGCCTCATGATGATGGATTGAATTAGACATTTATACTTGTCATAGCCTCATGATGATGGATTGAATTAGACATTTATACTTGTCATAGCCTCATGATGATGGATTGAATTAGACATTTATACTTGTCATAGCGTCATGATGATGGATTGAATTAGACATTTATACTTGTCATAGCCTCATGAAGATGGATTGAATTAGACATTTATACTTGTCATAGCGTCATGATGATGAATCGAAAAGTAGACCGCTTTTTTTTTAATTTTCACCTGATCTGCACGACAAGTTTTGTATACAAGCTTTGTCCATAAACGGACGTTGATCATGTTCAAACAAATAAATAATAATGAGAAGCTTGAATTCATTTTCAAAAATTTGAGGGCAAACAAAAAAGAGGGATTTGTAAAGGCTAATTTCTCTTTCAATAATTTAATCGTGGCGTATTTAAAAATAAATGATGGTTAAACAGCTATTATTGTGTCATTATTGCTTAGCTTCAGTTGTGTCAGACAGCTTCAGTTGTGTCAGACAGCTTCAGTTGTGTCAGACAGCTTCAGTTGTGTCAGACAGCTTCAGTTGTGTCCGACAGCGTCGCTTCAGTTGTGTCAGACAGCTTCAGTAGTGTCAGACAGCTTCAGTTGTGTCAGACAGCAGGGCTGTTAGGCTGTTGTTGTTTTTAAATTAGCTTTAAATTCTTATTTCTTGATGAACGTAGTTAACTGCATATTTTGTCCACAACACTAAATGTATCATTTTCCTTTCATTACTAACCAAGACATTAATAAAGCATAATTAATTGTTATCAGTTTTGTTGCCGTCTATATTTTTGTCTGTGTGTGAGAGAAAGAGAGAGAGCGAGCGAGAGAGAAAGAGAGACAGAGATGAGAGATAGAGAAGTTGAGAAGTTGAGAGAAACAGAGAGGCGAGAGAGGCGGAGAGAGCGAGTGTGGGGTTGAGAGAAAGAGAGGCAGAGAGAAAGAGAGGTGAGAGAGAGAGAAGAGAGAGAAAGAAGAAGAAGAAGAAGAAGAAGAAGAGAGGGAGAGCGTTATGGACTAAGTATAAGTGTATGTGTATTCTCTACAAATGTATTTTCTCACCACTAATAGCAGGTTAGAAAAAGCGCTAAGAAAAATTACTGTTTATAGAAAAAGAATAACTTAAATGGTTTTTTATTGTTTATTTCAATGAGATGAGATTTATATCTTTACACGATGTTTGTTATTTAACAAATAATTCAGTATTAAATTGTAACTTTTGATTACGCTTAGAATATTCAAACTGGTATATTAGCTATTTTTTGTTCGGAAGAGTAACTAAATCTGAACTAGCAAATTACTAAACAAGACATGTGTTAGACTTGATAAGAAGAATACAATTTATCAGAAGTGTCGGCAAAATGTGAGCTTTATTTGCTTTTCCTGATAATCTAACTGTTATTTAAAATCACTCAGTTAAAATATAGGGGGGGGGGGGGAATAATCAATAATGCGTGACTCCACCTTTGAGAATTTCTCAATCTTAGGGGCGCTAAATAAAAATGTGTTCTCATTGAGGAAGCCCAATTGACGGATATAAAAAGGACGGAATAAGTTGTTTCTGCGGTGTCTTCCCTTCATCAAGCCAGCTTGCCATCTGTCGCATTGTTGCCATTCCCTAACTTACGAGAACAAGTGTCGACTTTGAATTCTTTGTAGGCTATAAACTTCACTACTACGAAGCTGACAGATGGTGCATCATTCTGCTCCATGCAAAGTTTGAAATCCAGGCACAACTCCTACTAAGTGGAAGATGGATGGAGAGATTTGTAAACTGCTATTTTAAAGTAAACTCTAGAGAAAAAATGATAAACCTTCCTGTAACAATCACCTTGTTTTGCCTCTTTGTTTTTTACCCTCAAGTCGTCTAGCAGTACTTTAGACCAGGCCTGCACAACTCAAAATGTAAGGCGGGCCGTAAAAGAAAATAGGACAGGGCTTGTGCGGGCCAAAAGAAAATCTGACAGGGGGGGGGAAAGCTAATAAGAAAATAATAAGAATAAAGAATATTTCGTTACTTCGCAGGCCGCAAAGTGGGTGTTGGCGGGCCCCATGTGGCCCACGGGCCGTATGCTGTGCAGGCCTGCTTTAGATGATCTATAAGGATCTTGCCAATCTGGCGCACACCCACGAACTAAACCCCAGCCTACTGATGACTCCCTGGTTTACAACTCGCAGAGAAAGAAAGCGAACCGTAAAGAAATCGTTATCGGCTTCAGAAATGAGTAGCTCAATAGTTAGAATCACATGCTAATTTAATTCTTGTAATCACGAGGAACTTTTTGTTCTTTAATACGTTGCGTAAAAAAATGTAAATGCAAATTCAATTGAGGTTTAGTCGGACTGTACTATATATATATATATTTATTTTTTTTTTAAATTGACGGCTTTTAATGATGGCTTTTTTCATTAATCTTTTTTGATTGGAAAATACATAGCCCTGTTCATTTCATTATGTCATTGTTTCCTGTCAACCCGGTACAATTAAGATCATCATATCATTAAGACTTTAGTCCCCTTACCAAGGAAATAGTATTTTACACATAAGTTATAGTGAGCTAAAGTTATTAAGGATTTTGTAAAATCATACCTTATGTTATATTATGAGCTCACATAAGCGATCTATTGTGTTGATACTTTGATGATCTCACTGACCATGTTGCACAGCATATTACCATGCATTGCATTGTGTTGACAGGTTGATGTCAATGTCGCTCACCATATGACCGTCACCTTGCCTTGACAGGTTGACGATACCACTGATCATATGACCGTTACCTTGTCTTGACAGGTTGATGATACCACTGACCATGCTGGCTATCATGTGTGCCATCCCGTTTCTCCTCTCCCCCGATGACCCGGAGAAGTTGATGGTGGCGATCACTGTGCTGTTGTCCTTCACTGTTATCCTAGATTTTATCTCCAGGAGGTTCCCCCAGATTTCAGATCACATTTCTATTTTAGGTAATTTATTTAATAACTCTTGTTTGCATTATTACTATTTTACTTTTACAATTCATAATATTCGAAATTTCAAAATTTTGAAATAAAAATTTGGCTTTCTGCGCCTTCAAGAGAATATGCAGTAACTTCGTTTAAAATTTCTATTTGAAAATAAGACAAAAAAGTTATGGAGAATCATCTATTTCTGGTCAATGGGTCCACTTTTTCAACGTGTTGTGTAAGCATGTCAATAAATCTAAGTGATCAGTTGCTTGTGTTTCATTTTCTAAACGTTAACTATGTTCATATCTCAGTGATCTACATGACGTCGCTATTCACCCAGGCTTTCTTCGGAGTCGCTTTCAACACCTTGGTCATCCTTGTACACATTCGGGAAAAGGCTAGAAGAAAGCAGAACACCCTTCTCATGGACTGGTGCATTCGTCACGCACCAACTGCTAGGATCCCCACCCACCTCCACCACCCTACGCCCCTCTACGCCCCCAACCCCCCAGATGACCACCAGTCTTGCTCCGGGCGCCGACCGGTCAGTTCCTGGCATAATTTTACCCAGTTTTGTCTCCGACGATCAGAGAGTAAGAGCATACCGTTTGATCTTCAGAGATCAGTAACGAAGACGTCCAGGGCCTACAAACTCAACAAAGTCTTTCTTGTGGTAAACGTCATAGTTCTCGTGGCAAGCAGCGCCACAGCGTTGACGCTAATGGCGGTGTGAACCACGTGACTCAGTGGTGGTGTGGACCACGCGACTGAAGGGTGGTGTGGATCTCGTGAGTTAGTGGTGGTGTGACTCCATGATGGTGTTCATCAAGTGACTCACGGGTGTTGTTATAGTGGGGTGGACCCCTGACTCAATGGTGACGTGGACCTCTCGACTGAAGGGTGGTGTGGATCTCGTGAATGAATGGTGGTGTGGACCACGTGACTCAGTGGTGGTGTGGACAACGTGACACAGTGGTAGTGTTGATCTCTGACTCAATGGTTGTGGACCACGTGACTCGAGGCTTCATCTGTTTCGCAAACACCTTCTGGGATCATTGTCAACCTTATTTTCCAGTTAATGCATAATGGCTGTGTTGCTCAGGGTTGAACTGGGTTGAAAGACTTTGCCATTGTATGCTTGTAATTAGTTTTTGTAGTGTTGCGTTTGTTTTAAAAGTGGTAAATTATAGATTTGTTTTTTGTTGACTTTGTACCGCGCTTCGAGCCTTTGGGGATGAAGCGTGTTTTTGAAATGAACTTTATTATTATTATTATTATTATCTCTGCGTCAGCCAATTGAAATGCGAGTAGTTCTTATTTTTTGGGGCTTCTTATTTATTGAAACGTGCATTGTATTGGTAAAATAACTCCTT